GGACTTGGACTGCCATGCTCAGCTTTTTATGGGGTGCTGGAGATTGGAACTCCTCAATGCTCATAAGGACTTTACTGACTGAGCATCTTCCCAGTCCCTCTATGTTTATTTCTAATTGTGATGCTGCTTAGCAGTTATAAAAACATAACATTTTATAAATGTTGTAAGGGTGGGAACATTTATAACTCCGTTCTGAGAATGGTTTTAATAATCCCTTCTTTGGAGGTGTCCTCAGCTGATGACATCTGTGGGACTTGGGCCGCAGCTCATTTTGTCTGAGCTGAGGATGATGCATGTTTCTACCTGTGTCTCTCAGGGAGGCAAGGGAGTAGGGGCTTGGACTTCTGTTGATCAGGGGCCCACAGTGCTGCACCTCCATTTGCCCACATACCGCCTCCCAGAGCAAAGCATCTCCCAGAGCACACTCCAAGCCACAGGGCCAGAGGCCAGGGGAGGGTTTGCATGGAGAGGGTCTGCATGTGCTAACCCCACCCCACTGCCCAATGACGGACCCCAGCTGAGTGGAGAAGAGTGTGCTGCTTGACACTGTCCTTGCTGAGAATGACCTCAGTTCTCAGACCAGAGCTAGAGGGGGCTGAGGAAGAGGACTGAAAAACCTGTACGGCTGGGTGTGCACACCTGTCATCTCAGCTCTTGGGAGGTAGAGGCAGGGAGATCAGGAGTTCAAGGCCATCTTCAGCTACTTGAGACCCTGTACAAAAACAAAAATAAAAACAACCCCCCCACTCAATAAATTTGAAAATGAAACAAAACTATCCCATCCCTAAAGTCTGTGGGCCAAGTAGTTGTCATCTCACATCTCATCTACACTGTCACCAACTGCCCAGCTGTCTTTGCCATCTTTAGCAAACAGTTCACCCTCAAGAGACCTCAGTTTCCTTGTCTATAAAGCAAGCAAAGAGGCGCTGATGACTACTCCCCTTTTGGATTAAAAACAATCATACCTGTTTATTCTTTGAGGCCTCCCAAGGCCGACTTTAAGAAGCTTAATCTTAGCCAGGCATGGGGGTGCACTATCTGAAATCCCAGCGTAGGGGAGGTAGAGGTAGAAGGATTGCAAATTTGAACCTGAGGGCTGGAGAGATAGCTCTGTGGTTAAGAGCACTGGCTGCAGAGGACCTGGAGTTTGGTTCCCAGCACCCACATGGCAGCTAACAACTATTGGTAACTCCAGTTCCAGGGGATTTGACATCCTCTTCTGGCCTCCACAGGCATTGTATGCACATGGTACACTTATGTACATACAGGCAAAACACTCATACACATACATAAAATAAAATTAAAAAACCAAGCCGGACGTGGTGGCACATGCCTGTAGTCCCAGCACTTGGGAGGCAGAGGCAGGTGGATCTCTGTGAGTTCAAGGCCAGCCTGGTCTACATAGTGAGTTCCAGGACAGCTGGGGCTACAGGGAGACCCTGTCTCAAAAAGACCAATAAATAAATAAATAAATAAAAAAGAAAATTTTCCAGGCATGATGGCTCACACCTTTAATTCCAGCACTCAGGAGGCAGAGGTAGGCAGATCTCTGTGAGTTCTAGGCCAGCTGGGGCTATAGGGAGGCCCCGTTTCAAAAAGATCAAACAAACAAATTTGAATCTACCTGGGCTACAAGGTGAGGTTCTGTTTCAAAACATAAAAAACAGCTTTATCTTGTCAGGTCAAAGATGAGAGAGGGCTTACTTGTCCCCTGAGTCAGCTTAATACTTCTCTCTCTAGAGGACATGGAGGGTAAATGTGGGGACACAGATTCAGGGAGTAAATCTGGGGCCTCGAAGAAGCAAGTGCTGTACCCCACTTTCCCCTCCCAGACTGTGCAACCCCTCAGTGTCTGCTTTGATGTGGCTGACAGGTGTCCTGCAATGGCCTTGGTCCCAAGCTAGACCTCAGCCTAGAGCTGACAGCAGTCATGGAGTCTTGTAAGTCACTTCAGCTCTCTTAGTCTGTCTGGCACATAACAATACTTCCCAGACCATAGGCTGGAGAAGTTCAGAGGCAGTTGTGTTACTGAAGGAACTTTGTAAGCAGCAGGGTGTCCCAAGAGGAGTGCCCTGGCTCCCACGTGAGGGCCTGTCTTCCTCTGCTGTAGTCATAGGGGCTTGTCTCAAATCTCTGGGCACAGAACACTTCGGTCCTGCTGGACACTCATTTCTGCCATCTGGAGGCCAGATAGCTCCATTCCCAAGCTGTGATTCATCTGATGTGCTAGCCAGCTCCATGTCCCCACAGGCCTGAGGTCTCTTCCTGGGGGTGGGAGCCACATGGGAGAAACTGGAAACCTGTTGGGGCTGGATCAGGAGTGATTTGGGGAAGGTGGGCCAGACTGTGGTGTACAGGTATGTTTTTTTCTTTCTCTCTCTTTATCAATGTTTGTCATAGCAACCTGGAATGTTGGCCACAAATTGAACTTCCACTCAGTGTAGAGTTCAGGCAGCCTTGAAGGAGGTCAGAGAGTCTTCTCAGAGCCCTGGGGGAGGCCACGTCTCCTACCTCTCCAAGATAAAGGTCTTCAGCATGTGGACTTGCTCAGCAGTGGGGGATGTGGAGATGAGTTTTCCAAGGAAGACAGGGTGGTAAACAAAGTCACCATGAGGGTTTGGAAGGAGCACAGGGACCAGCCACCTGTTCTAGTCTCGGGATGGCAGGATTCCAGGGAACTAGGAAAGAAACCAATCAGCTTCCTGGAAGAGACAGCCAAGACTGAGCTTTGTATTTGTTTGTTTGTTTGTTGACTTGTTTCCCCTTGCAATCAATGTTTCTCTGGTTGGCATAGAGATCAGATTGGCTATGTAGATCAGATTGGCCTCAAACAAGTGTTTCCACCATACCTGACTTTTTAAATGCTCTTTTATTATTTTATAGAATTAAAAATATTGGCCGGGTGTGATGGCACATGCCTTTAATCCCAGCACTCGGGAGGCAGAGGCAGGCGGATCTCTGTGAGTTCAAGGCCAGCCTGGTCTACATAGTGAGTTCCAGGACAGCTGGGGCTACAGGGAGACCCTGACTCAAAAAGACCAAAAATAAATAAATAAATAAATAACAAAAAATTTTATTATTTTTACTTTATGTGTATGAGTGTATTGCCTGCATGTATGTGAGTTCACCTGTGTCATGCAATGCACTCAGAGGTCAGAAGAGGGCGTCGGATTCCCCCGGAACTGCAGTTAAGGATGGTTCTTAGCCACCACGTGGCTGCTGGGAATGAAACCCAGATCCTCTGCAAGAACAGTCAGTGCTTTTAACCCCTGAGCCATCTCTTGAGCCCCTATTTTATATAATTTTTGTTTGTTTTGTCTTTTTGAGACAGAGTATCCCTGTAGCCCCAGCTGACCTGGAACTTGCTATGTTGACTAGGCTGGCCTCAAACTCACAGAGATCTGCCTGCCTCTGCCTCTTGAGTGCTGGGACTAAAGGCATGTGCCACCACACCTGGCGTATTTTATATAATTTTAAAAAATAGGGTCTTGCTGGGACTGGAGAGATGGCTCAACAATTAAGAGCACTGCCTGCTCTTGCAGGGGACCCAGGTTCGATTCCCAGCACCCACATGGCAGCTACGAACCGTCCTTAACTCCAGTTCCAGGGGAATCCGAAGCCCTCTTCTGACCTCCGAGGCATTGCACGACACGGGTGCACTCACATACATTTTATATACATAAAATAAAAATAACAAAATATTTTTAAAAAATAGGGTCTTGCTATGGAGCCAGGCTGGCTTTGAACTTGTACTCTGGCCTTAGCTTCCCAAGTGCTAGCTAGGCTGATGGGCATCTATTGGCTAAGCTGAGTCTTAGGACTGAGTAATGTGTAGCACAAAAGAAGAGACTGTCTGGTCAAGGGAGTAGCTAGACCAAAGGCACAGGAGTCAGAAGTCATGATCAGCACCGTAGAAACTCAGTGTATGCAAGGCATAGAAGTGCAGAGCATGAGAGTGGGAAAATAAAGGTGATCTGTGAATGGGAAGCACAGCACTAATCATTTGTACATTGTCAAGTCTTACCTTACAAATCAGTGCGTCAGCTCAGAGATTAAATAACTTGCCCAAATCACATAGCCAGCAAATGGCACACCTGAAATGGTAGCCTGTCCTTCTGTGGGGAATGAAAAGTGGAGGCCCACTTGGTATAGACACTGGGTCTGAGATCCCATCTCATGTAGTCAGCATTCCTTTTCTAAACTCTCCTATCTGGGCTGACAGCTTTCTGCAGACCTCCTGTCTCATCTTATAGTCCAATTAGTATATACTATCAGTATATTATACACTCTCCAGTTAGTTCCAGGTCTATATGTACCAAAGAAAGGAAGGGGCAACAACAGTGGGAACCAGCTATAAACTCACTTTTTATTTTATTTTATTTTATTTTTTGAGACAGGGTCTCACTTTGTAGACCAGGTTGGTGTTGAACTCACAGAGACGTGCCTGCCTCTGCCTCTCAAGTGTTGGGATTAAGGGTGAGCTGCAGCATACCTGGCCTCATTTTATTTTTTAAATATTTTACTTATTTTTATTTTATGTGTACGAGTGTATTGCCTGCATGTATGTGAGTGCACCCTTGTCGTGCAATGCCACGGAGGTCAGAAGAGGGCTTCGGATTCCCCTGGAACTGGAGTTAAGGACGGTTCGTAGCTGCCGTGTGGGTGCTGGAAATCGAACCCGGGTCCCCTGCAAGAGCAGTCGGTGCTCTTAACCGCTGAGCCTTCTCTCGAGCCCCTCATTTTATTTTTTAAGATGAGGAATGCGTGTCCTAACTATGTAGCCTAGGCTGGCCTTGAATTCCGGATCTTCCTGCCTCAGCCTCCAGTGTTCTGGGTTTCCAGGTGTGTACCACCACACCTCACCTGCAGTCCCATTTTAAAATATCTTTATTTTTATTTTATATGTATGAGTGGACTGCCTGCATGTACATGAGTGTGCTCATGTTGTGCAATGCCAGTGGAGGTCAGAAGAGGGCGTTGAATTCCCTGGAGCTGAAGATCTGTAAGCTGCCATGTGGGTGTTGCGAACCAATACTGGGTCCTATGTAAGAGCAGCCAGTGCTCTTAACTGCTGAGCCATCTCTGCAGCCCGTTTCCCCATTTTAAATAGGAGAGAAGCCTGGTGGCTGAAAGAACTGTCCTCCCTCACATTCTTTTTTCCCTGTGTAAGGCCTGGCAGAAGCAAGCCCAGTCCAAACCAGCCCCATCGACCTGTGTACCTATTGGTTTCTGCCTGGAACTGTTTCTGGGTGGTGCACACAGAGGTCCAGATGCATGGGTCTGAGAACTGCCTTTCAGATGTTGTCTTACCAGGCCACATCCTATTTGGGGGTTCCACATGGCCATTCCAGTTGCCCCTGAAGCCCAAGGTGGAAAGCACATTCTAATATTCAGGTCTTGAGGCCTCTCATCCTAAATCCTATTTTTAGCATTTTTATTTCCTTCCTAATTGGCCTCTGGGGCTGCCCTACAGCTTCATGCTGTGTGGGGAACCTCGGTGGGCCATTGTCACTCCTGAACACCAAGTGTTAAGTTTTTATCTGTCCAGTCAAGTCAGGAGGGTAGACAGGCAGGCCCTGACTTTTAGTTGAAGCCCTGGGGCCAAGGTACTTAGATGACATCTCTGTCCAGCATGGGCTTTCTTATCTCTGACAGGTGAGAAAACTGAGCTTTCGGGATTCTGAACTGTAGTCATAACACTGTAGGTGGCAGGTGTGATGGTAACCCATGTCCCCACAGATTCCAAAGCCCACACCGTTTTGTTGCCTTTCTGAAGCAGCCTTCGAAGAGAGGCTGAGTGTTGAGAATGAACCTTTAGGACGTCCGTCTTGCCTCAGGCTGACTGAATCAGAATCTGTGGGGGTCGACCCAGATAGCGCTGTTTTTTTAGGGCTCCCCAGAGGGTTGCAGTGGGCAGTGCCCCCTATTGTAACAGGCAGAGACACAGCACCTCCTCTAAGACTTTCCAGGTGCGCCTTTCACTGCGTAATCGTTTTCGCTTCGCGAAAGCAAAACTCAAAACCAGAGCGGGTGGGGCTGCCCAGAGCGCTCCAACCTGGGGAGGGTCAGGCGGATCCTGCGCTCCCTGCGGTCCGGACCCCGCTGAGCTCCCGCTCAGGTGCGCGGGGGCAGGAAGCCGTCCCCTCTGGTGGCCCCGGTGCGCTGGGCTGTTGCGCCATCGGTCGGGCTTTCGTAACTGCACACCGGGCCTGCCAAGAGGCGCTTCAGTGCCAGTTCCTCAAACGTTTTCCTGCGTTGCCAGGACGGTCCTCGGCTCTGAGTCATGGGCAAGTGGGAAGTCGTCGCACGGACAGCCAGCGAGCGCGGCGAGGGGCCGAACAGAGAGTGCTTCTGAGCCGGGGACCACGACTTGCCCCGGGGCTGAGTCCTCCCGTCGCCCCGCCCAGGCCGAGCAGTCATCCCGGCTCCGCACGGCTGCGGCCTGCAGAAGGAAGCATGCTGGCCGTACGCTGCGCGCTGCTGACCGCGCTGCTGACCGCGCCCTCCGCGGCGGCCTCCCGGAGCTGCCGAGCGCTCGGTAAGACGCACCTGGAACGGCGCAGCCGGTGGGAGGGGGCCCCGCGTGGCCGCCGGAGGCAGGGAGCGGGCGGGAGGACAGCAAGGGGCCGCTCCCCCTTTCCTCTGGCAGCGTGGGTCCCCGCGGCGCAAGGTGCCTGACCGCGGCGGACCCAGCTGCGCGACCGCAGAGGTTCGGTCTGGCGCCAGGGGCTGCGACTCCGCTGCGACTGTCTGGTTGGTCTGGGAAGCCACCTAAGGTCTTACCGGACTGGCAGTGCTTTCGGAAACCCGGCTCTGGGGCTCGCTCCCAAGGTTCCCATGAGTCCCGGGTTGTTGTCAAGGGAGATAGATGCCTAGAGGTCGCACCCCAGCGGGTTTGTAAGTCCCTTCTGGGGCGTCTTCCGTGCGGGGGCCGCTCTCCGCTTTAGCTGGGGCACTTCGCCTGCTTCTCCCCAATTCCACCCGGTGTACGTGAAGATGACAGTGCCCTGACTGCGAAGGGTCTGACATCATGGGCGCTGAGTCACGGATCCTCCCGCCACACACGCTCGCTTCAGCCTGCTCAGCCGGGGCAAGCTGAGTGCTACTCCTCTCCCCAGTCCTGGAAGTTTAACTTGTCAACAAGGGATGAGGGACCGCTCGGCCCCTGGCAGTGCAGCCGGTCCATACAAGGCGAGTGGACCTCACGTGGCGTAGGGCCACTGTGCTCCTCTTCACCACACTCTGCGGACCAGGCTTCTGTGGGGTCTGGCTTTGAGCCCAGCTGCTGGCCTGGTCTCTTCTGGAGGAACTGGGCAACAGCTTCTCTACAGGTTATTTTAGGGTCTGAGGATGTCTGTGAGGACATAGAGGAAACCAAGGGGCATTGGGGAGACTTCTGGGGAGCTGGCTGTGGAGGCGATGGCTGGGTCTATGGCTTCTGAAACCACACTGCCCTGGAGAACAGCTACTAGACCTCTCTGCCTGCAAGACAAAAAGGCACAAGCTGGACTGCAGGGCCCACACACATTCATATTCTCATTCTCTCTCTCTCTCTCTCTCTCTCTCTCTCTCTCTCTCTCTCCTCTTTCCTCATCTTGCTGTATAGCCACAGTTGGTCCCAAGCTTGTGATCCTCCTGCGAATCTTCCTTTGGATCAACATAGAAGTTTGAGAGGCTCTTGAGGTTCAGAGGCACTTGTGGTGGATGGGAAGCTGTCAGAGCCAGTCGCTGGAGACCCAGACCTTCCATAGCTCGGTGTTCCACCGTAGTAGTTCCCTAAACCGCCTGCATTGAAAACTAGACCATCAGGCAGATCAGAGGGTATTTGGGGCAGGCTGAGCATCTCTCCCATCTGGCTGAATTCTGGAGCAGAAGTTGCTGAGGGAAAGGAAGTAGAGGACCCTGCTTGGCTTCCCATGGTGGCAGGCAGGGTTGAGGCTTCCTCCACTTTGGAAGTGAGGAAGCCCGGGGGGCCTGTCTCAGTTACTACTCACACCACACCCCAGAGCACCTCCCCAGTGGTTTGTTTTTGTTCCTAAGGAGTTAGTTGTAAGGCATTTTGAGGACAACACATTCTGTCTCCCTAGTGTTCAGAAAGGCCAGCCAAGGGGGTCTTATGACCTGGACAGCCTGCAGAAGGCAGAACTGGGAGTTTGGGGAGGAAGTGAAAGCTCTCCCAGCTTAGAAGGAAAATATGGAGAAGTGGCGGTCCCAAGTCCATCTCCCACACACTCAGCCACAAATGAGGAGTGAGAATCAAGAAATAAGCTTCAAACAGAAAGCATGGAGCAAGATTTTGAAGTCTGGCTCTGGAGAAGGGGGAGCCAGGGCTGGATAACAGAGGCAGCTGGAGCTGACTCAGAGGTAACCCCCTGGTGGGGTTTTTCGGACCTGCCCTGGCCTGGCGGGTGCCTGCTCTTTATCCAGGAACTGCAGGGCTCCTCAGGTGTCTTTGCCACTGAGGGTCCTAGACCAGCTGGGATTTTGGCTTTCTCTAGCTGCAATATTCTAGGTGTTGGTGGTGTGTAAGGCCTGGGCAGCTCAGTTCCCTTTTCCTCTGCAAGGCCACAAACACACAAAGCTGCATAGATACCTACTTGTCTAAATCCTCCTGCAGCTTCAGAGTTTTCCCTGTGGCAATCTCATTGTGCCCATGAAATCTACCTTCGTTCCTAGCCTCACCCTACTACATCAGATCAGGGTTTCTCTGAAGGGTTGTTCTGGGTCTGGCATCAGATTTTGGTTAGGTTAGGGTAGGGTAGATGGGATAAAGTTTTTTTTTTTTTTTAATGTGTATGAGTGGATTGCCTGTATGTAGGTAAGTGCACCCGTGTTGTGCAATGCCCATGGAGAACATAAGAGTCCATCAGATCCCCTGGAACTAGAGTTACGGACAATTGTTAGCTGCCATGTGGGTGCTGGGATTTGAACCTGGGTCCTCTGCAAGAACAGTCAGTGTTCTCAACCGCTGAGCCATCTCTCCAAGTTCTTTTTTAGACAGGGTCTCTCCTGGCTGGCCTGGAACTCACTGTATAGACAAGACTGGCCTCAAACACACAGAAATCCCTCTGCCTCTGCCTCCTGAGTGAGTGCTAGGATCAAAGGCATGTGCCACCATACCTGGCAAAGTGATGGTTTTTGACCTCCACCCCATATTCATTCATGATCAGTGAGTTCTAAATTTTTTTTTTTTTTTTTTTAACAAATTGCTGCTCTTGATTCTCGGACACTGCCAAGGCTGAGGACATCTGCCTAAATGATGTGATTAAGAAACTGAATAAAGGCCCTCCCTCCCTTGTCAGGCTCCCTATGTCCAGAAGCCTCTCCCTACTTGGTCTCTGCCCCTTGTTTATTCATTGCAGCAAGTATTTAAGGCATCCCTGCAAAGCCCTTGGGGGCTGTGTGGGATCAGCCTTGCAGACTCCACCCTAAAAGGAGCCTGAATGCAAATCCCGAGAAGGACAGAGACAATTCAGTCTCTCTGACTTGACCACTGGGTACCAACTCAAGGACAAATCATCTCAGAGGGCAGCTAGACAGAGAAGCATCTCAGATTAAGGACTGTGACCCCAACTCCACTTCCTCATCTAGACCCTCAGCAAATTGTAGACAAAGGTAGCTGGGTGTTTGCAAGGCTATGTAAAATAACCTGTATGTTCCTGGCCACACCAATGCGCTTCCATCTGCAAGCCCTCCCCGTGACCCTGCAGGCTTGAGTATCACAGACCCAGTCACCAAATTGAATATAGGGCCAAATCTGTCTCAAAGAGCAGCCGGTGGCCATTGGGGGCGGGGGGGGGGCATTCAAATTTAAATAAATAGAAAAAGAAAAAAGGGAGGGTGAGAAGAATCAGCAAGTGAAGTTTCTTGCTGATAAGTTTAATGACCCAGAGGACCTGAGTTGTCGCTCCAAGATCCCGAGTAGTGAAAGGAGAGACCTGACTCCCAAGGGTTGTTCTCTGACCTCCATGTATGTTCTTGACACACACATGCATACATACACATACACACACACACACACACAAATAAATATAATTAAAAAAAAACTGGCTTCAAGCTGGGCTTGGTGGTAAAGGCCTATAATCCCAGCACTTCAGATGCTGAAGCAAGAGGATTGCAAATTCTAAATCAGCCTAGGTTTACACAGTAAGAAATATATATAAAACAAAACAAAAAACAAAACAAAAACAAACCTTAGTTCCTTCATCACACAAGTCATTTTTCAGTGCTCAGTGGCCAGCTGTGGCTAGTAATGCTGTGCCAGTCTGCTCAGAATACAGAGCTTTCCCACCATCAAGGGAAGGTATGCTGGACAGTGCTGGGCTAGAGTGCTATGTAGTGTCTTCCAGAACTTTCTGGCTCTTGTCTTTCTGCCTCTCCACCTTCTCTCCTCCACTTGAACTCATTCTGTACTAGTAATAGCTGAGGCATTGGAACCAGACAGATGTCACACTGCCCTACCATATGTGACTTGATATAACCTTAGGCAAGTGAGTCAACCTCTGGGACTTTGTGTCCTCATCTAGAAAAAAAAAAAGAGCAGATAGATAATTAGATAGTAGATAAAAGTACAGACATGTCTACACATTCTGGTCCAGGAATTTAAACAACTCATACTGAAGGTACCCAGAGGGGGAAAATATGTCTATTTGGATATGTACAGACTTTTTACTCATTATTCTCTACGCTATGAGGATTAAATGGGCCAAGTAATGTACTGAACAGGGGGTTAAGAAAAGTCTCTGGCCAGATGTGGTGGTGTACACCTTTAATCCCAGGCTTGGGAGGCAGAAGCAGGTGAATCTCTGTGAGTTTAAGGCTAGCTTAGTCTACATACTGAGTTCAGGTCAGCTGAGGTTACAGAGAGACTCTTTCAAAAAACAAAAACAAGAAAAGTCTCTGGTGCAGAGCTCAAATATGTGAGGTAAGAATTCAGTCTTAAAATATATTCTGGCTGGGCGTGGTGTTGCATTCCTTTAATCCCAGCACTTGGGAGGCAGAGGTAGGCGGATCTCTGAGTTCAGGCCAGCTGGGGCTACAGAGAGACCCTGCCTCAAAAAAAAAAAATTATATATGTATATACATAATTTTTTTTTCTGAGGGCCTGGAGAGATGGCTCAGCAGTTAAGAGCACTGGCTGCTCTTACAGAGGACCCAGGCTCCTATCATCCACATGGTGGCTAACAGTCAGTAACTCCAGTTCCAGGGGATCTGACACCCTCTGCCAGCCTCCTCAGGCATTACATACATGTGGTGCACACACACACACACACACACACACACACACACACACATATATGCAGGCAAAACACTCATGCACATAAAATAAAATAAATAAAATGTAATTAATATTTTATTCATTTATTTGTTTTTTTACTACAAATCTTTTATCTATCATCTATCTATCATCTATCTATCTATCTATCTATCTATCTATCATCTATCATCTATCTATCATCTATCTATTTATCATCTCTCTATCATCTATCTATCTATCTATCTATCTATCTATCTATCTATCTATCTATCATCTATCTA